GGTATCTGTAGTTTATAATTTCAGCAAGAGCCTAAGTTCTCAATGGCAGGAGCCATGGTTTATGATGAGCACTGAAAATCTGATGATTGCCTGATAAACCATGTCCTGACCAGGACTAGTAGGACAATTTTATCAGGCCAAGGAGTGACCTTAAAAGTGTATAATGGTACAGCAGCAACTGGTTTCTTTGACCAATGATATCCTGCTATTTCATTTGAAACTTTTTGGCGTTTTTGCAAGATTAGAAATTCTGAGAAAATTTTGTGCTTCAGTCCCCATTAGCCTGTAACAGTAGGACTGCGACCTTGTGACTCTAGTTTTAGGTAGGAGCATGGTGACAACAGTTTTCCACCTCCTAATTGAAAAATTTCTTCCCTCTGGATTTGTATGTTTATCCTAATTAGGACCTTGCACTTTGTCCACATGCTTGGGTGGAGCAGTGGGCTCTATCTTGGTGGGTTATTAACTACAGCTTTAAGAGGTGACAAGTGATATGCCAGTGGACTGGAAGGTGCCACTTTAGAAGTGGATTTCAATGTTTGGTTATGTTTAGTAATTTTTCAGAAAGACTGGCATATTTTTTCTGGTTACTATTGTCTTTCTCTTGGTTCGTGAATATATATACTCATCCAGAGAATGGGCTAGGGCTGGGGATATAGCTCGGTTGGTTGAGTGCTTGCCTCGCATGCACAGGGGTCTGGGTTCAATCCCCGGCACTGCCCCGCCCCCCCCCCCCCCCCAAAAGGGCCAGAATCATAAACACTGGGCCCTGATAAATCAGTCATGTGAGATAACAGGGGTAAATCTTTAGCGATGTCCAGGGGCAGAGGTAATTAGGTGCTTTTTGTGGGATTAAAGACTTTTTTTTCTGATAAAAGTTCTGCAAATCAGTTACATGGATACTACCATTGAATGTGGCCACATGAATGCGCGCGCACGCGCGCGCGTGTGTGTGTGTGTGTGTGTGTGTGTGTATAAACAGGGCAGCACAGAACATTTTTCAGGAGCCAGTAACTCTGGACTCCCCTGCTGGGGTCAGCTTAGCTATGGCTTCCTTGCTTCAGTGGGAAAATGAGAAACAGAACTAGAGAATTTCTACAATTTTCCAGCCATGACTTCCTAGCTTTCCCGTGAGGGAGGTCGGGTAAGACTCGTGCCCTGGGCTGCACTCTGCTGTCCTCTCGATCAGTTAGTAGAGTTTCCTGGGTGATGGCATAATGATGACGATTACCATTGTTAACAGTGTCATGCAGGCACCTGGGGTGTTGGGGGAAACGTCCTCATACCCAGTAAGTGCTGCTGTACCGCCCAGTTTTGGGAGTCTTGTCCTCTACATCTTTCAGTTTTTAGTTCCTCTGACAATTAAGAAATCACATGATTCACTATTTTGTTATTCTTTAGAGTTTTGAAAATGTAAATATTTCTTTTTTTTCTGAGCCTTAAAACTTCCCTTGAAGATAGTGGTCGACAATATTGAAGGAATTCACACTGGGGAACACAGGGTGTGCTCTGGAAGCCACTGGAAACTCAGTGCACATCAGTCTTTAAATAATCTGGAAGGGCAGTTTGTGAAATGAAAAGCATCGTGTGTGTGAGATACTCAAAATATTCCTGCACTTCCTACTGCTCTGGGAAACAGAGCAAGAAACACAAGAAACACTTGTGTTTCTGGCCACCTCCTAGGGTCCGTGTGATCATTTCTGCTCTTCTACTTCCTGGTCTTCTGTATGCCCATCACTACTCTTCTTCCCTCTGAAATTTTTCTCATATTATAAGCAATTACCAGGCAAGTTCCAAGAAAGATCTTTCTGAAAGGAAGCCACAAAAGTCTTTATCATTATTCTGATGTCAAAGGATTGCTGCTTATAGCATGCGTTAATTTTGGGTAAAAATACTAATATAAGTATAAAATAATTTCCTTGAGTTTAGAGTCTTATTCATCTTGGAGGGATTTTTTTTCCTACAAATATAATCTTATCATATATACATCAATGACTAGGTCAAACTACGTATGAGACAAAATCCTCACTCTAGCCCTTCAAGAAAATTCCTAGCTCTCTAATGTGGCATGATGCCATGAGATCGTTTTATTTATCTTTCACTACTTTCTGTAGCAGTCATGTTTCTCTAACTAAGAATTAATATGGAGACATCAGATTTGAATGGAAAATTCATCCTTCTAGATCAAGACCACTTTTTTCCCTTGAAATCCTCATTACAAATAAAAACTGTGAAAATGCCAATATACTTTTTTGCAGGGGAGAGATTCAAATTCTCCTTTGGCTATGCATACGTTTGTAATTACACTATAGTTTAAGCTTGTTCTAGAAAAACGTGCTTTAGAAGTAAGCGAATTGGAATTTCACAAAATAAGAAAAAAAAAGTGGAAAGAATTTTTATCTCTCCAAAGATCAAAGTTGCTTTGAGCTGTCAAACTAAATTCAAAGGCTAAATGAATATAATAATCAAATAGCTTTTGCCCAGGCTTTCCTGGCCTAGTGGCATATAAATATTTGTCTTAAGATAGTAGGCCAAAGTTTCATCTCAGAAAAAATATTGGACATTAAAGAATCTTTTAAATCAATGTGTGATATAAATCTAGATGAGTTTTACACTTTAGTCACCTTTTTAATATCCTGGAAAAGGTAAGAAGGGACATGTGCTTTTCCTTGAATTTATTAGTTTTGTGAATACTGAAATATTCATTCATGATAAAATTATTTAATGACTTATGCTCCTTTTGAGAATAGGTTAATATTTTATATCAATAGAATTCTGATAATTTCACTTCTTCATTAATTAGAGTTTAAAAACAATTTTAGAAACAGAATTTTAAGTAGTATCTCTTTTGCTACTATCTGCTTTTCACTAATTTTAAGGGAAAGACTGATTTTTGGGAGAACATTCGTGGCTCACAATCTACTGGTGCATTTTCTCACTTCCTGGGCCCATGTGAATGGGCCAATTAAATTCTGAGTCTCTGAACCCTGGGTATTTTCCTGGATAAAGTTCCCATAGGAAGTAGCAAGCTTTATTCACAAGATTACAACAAATAAACAAACAAAAGCAAGAGTACTTGATTTCTTTTTAAACAATAGTTTGGAGACTTTTCAATAATCCAAATACTGGGTTATTATCATATGCAGTAGTCGATGCAAAGTTATCTCCTCACTATGAAGGATGAATTCATTCCCCAAATAAAAAAAAGTATTGAACCTTGTGAAAGCAGTTCAATTTCTATGAACACTTTAAACGTTTTGCTTAGTGTTAGACTTTGAGGTATTTACATCTAGAACTAGTAGATACTGAGCAAGCTAGACATATTCACTATTGAAACACTTTGTGTGTTTTATAATTTGCGTTTTCCCAATTCACTTCTTAATTCATTAGTATTTAGTTATGACAACTTTGTTTTCTCTTAGGATATAGGACAATTTAAATATATTCACAGGAATTAAGCAACCTCCTTCTTTTTGGTGGCCAGAAATCTAGGACAGAAACCAGGAGCTGACCACACCCATCTCTGGGGCCACAGGACCATGAACTCCCACTGGGAACATGTACAGATAGGGCATAACTGGACAAGTGAATATTTAATGGTTCTAACTAATAATGTTTTCTTTTATTTTTTGGCTCCAGATAGGGAAAATGAGAAACATTTTGAAGATTTTTTTTTTTTTTTAAAGAATCCATCCAACTATTAGCCATCAGTTTTCTGGGAGAATGGTTTGTTTTTCTGTTTTGCTCTTTTTCATGACATATTTACAACATTACGTTTTTTATTTGGTCTCTGAAAGACTGAATCTGAAAGTGCAAAACAAGAATTTCCAGTTCTTAAAGTTACTGGGCCTTCTAGATTAAGCATTTATGTAAGCCAAATATCTGTGTCATTTTCTAGATGGAGTACTTTTTAAAAAAATTTCTGGTGTAATTCAAATGCTTTAAATCTTATGCTTGCTCTTTTAGATTGTTGATCTGAACTTCTGGCAACCAGATGTTTCATAAATTAAAAAAAATATTGTTCGAAGGGATCAAATCTGCTTTTTAAAAAAATGTATGCATCTATGTATGATATTTATTAGTGTGAATGTTATAAAACTCATAATATCTAAGTGCTCCTGTGATTATATCTTTAAAAAAATTTTTTTGTAGTTGTAGATGGATAGCTTGCCTTTATTTTATTTATTTCATTTTTACGTGGTGCTAAGGACCGATCCCAGTGCCTCATACATGCTAGGCAAGTGCTTTGCCTCTGAGCGACAGCCCCAGCCCCTGTGCTTGTATCTTGATTTTCCAACAAGGTTGCTTTTGTTTTGAGTGAGAGATACTTAAATTTCTTTGCATTGTCTCCTAAATCTAGAAAGACTCATTCATATCATTCGTCCATTGATTGACTGACTGACTTCTCAATCTCACCCAATTGAACTGTGAAATAAGCAGTTTCAGGATCTCATGACTAAACCTGATCTCAACCAAATGTGACAAATTCCTAATGACATCTGCCACGCTCTGTGTCAACCCAGCTCAAGGCAACTCAACAAAACCAACTCTGACAAATACTATGTATGTGACTAAGGAACTCCAGTGACAATCCCAAATACATCTGCAATCATTATTTGAGTCAATATTGTGAAGAAGCCAGAGAAAATGGAACTATGGTCATTTTGAAGATTAGTGGATAAACGATACAAAGGTGACTGTTCCTGATTGCAAAATTTTTAAGTCAATTTATGCAGTTGATTCTAAACTCCCTATAAATTTATAGTAAGTTTTCTGTACTTCTGCTACCAAAAACCAATAAAGAAACTTCTAGAAATTGTTCATATATATATAATGAACAATTTATATATATATATTTATATATATATATATATATATATATATTTATATATATTTATATATATATATATATATTTTTCCCCCAGGAATAAAATGAAAAACAGTCTCAAGAGTGAAATTTCCAAGAGTGAAATTTCCCAGCCACTGCCGAGTCGACTTACCAACTCCACATTGTTCTTCGGCAGATTGTAGGTGTAGGAGTAGGGATAGAGCAGCATCTGGGAGTACGAGTGGATTGTCAGGTATGCCTTGATGGAAGAGAGGTTGTTGCGGATGAAATCAGCCAGGGCCTTGGTCTCCTTCTCAGACTCGGGCGCAGGTCCACAGTAAGTATCAGAACAGGGGTTTTTAGATGCTCCCACCTCTGGGAGAACATGTGTTGTTGTTAACGGCCAATGGTGGCCTTCTGAAATGATCTACCTACGGTGAGCTACCTGGGGGATATTTTAATGCTTTAAACTTTCACATTAGGAAGCTCAATGTACATTGTTTTCACGTGACTCTGTTGAACGATTCTCTACTATATGCATGTGTTATAAAATATGTACGTATTTACTGACAAGATTAACACAGTATGGTTTTAAGCTCGCAGGATAAGAAACTTTGCATATGAAATCATGAATGTATCCTGTATAGTATTACACAGCATGATCAATAAATTGTAAGAAAATTAACAAGCAGTGTACAAACTAATATCTATCAAAATTCTATATTACTATGATCACAACACAATGTTATTTAAATAATTATTAACTTAATGGCTGTATCTAGACACTCACTAGACTAGACTCTCTAGTGTACAAACAGTAGTAGGATTCTCTCTGATTTGTTCAGTCCTATGTCTTCAGCATCTAACACATTTGAGAACCCAACACAGTGCCCGATACATATTTGTCAAATGAATTAATAAACTACTTATTATGTGTGCTTTCAGAAAGTGAAAACTCTAAAATATAAAAATTTATAGTTTTTCTTGTTTTGGGACACTATCATGTTTTCTTATGTCATTTTTTTTTCTCTCAAGGTTTCAACCTATGAGTGCCATATGGCCAGCCAGGTACTTACCACACCAACCAGCAGCAAAATTTCTGTTGGGGTCTATGCCCACACAGGAAGTTCCAGCCTGAGTCGAGCGGGTCTTTCTCCACATTCGGTTCTGAAAGTGGATTGTGTGGTTAGGACAAGGGTCACAGAAAGCAGTTGGTTTTCATTACATCAGTCCCACTCAGTGCGGGTTCATGTACCTTGGTCCAGGTGTAGACATAGCCATCAATATTGACCACGGGCAGGACGTAAAAGTCCAATTCATTGAGAAGCTCTGTCATGTGGATCTCTTGTCCATAGGTGCGAACTGCCTGTGTGTGAATTACAAAGCAGAATTTCATGGGATGGGGATAGAAGGGCACCATGCTGCTAAATTTACATAGACAGGGTGAAGGTTGACTTTGGTAATGGAACTGTGTCCCCTATTGGGGTAGGCAAAGTTAATATTTAGAAAGCCATTGGCAAATGATCACTGGTTTTCTTTTTTAAATTATTGTTTTTAATTCTTCTCTGCTTTTAGCATACTTTTGTTCCATTCATATGTAACACAGGGAATTATTGTTTTTTTATTTTAACTTTTTCCTTTAGAGATGAACATAGATTTAATAAAAATTAAAGACTTTTTTTCCCTCAGGGCATTCCAAATTTGTTGTACATGGAACTACAAATTAAAGACCTTTAAAGCACACACACACACACACACACACGTACTTGTTTCCTTTGCGGTAAAAACTGCAATCACTTTTTATCGAATTTACTAGGGTATGAGCATAAGACCTAGTCCTGGTATATAAGGAGGGTCTATGGGTGGTTATTCATGTTCCTAATGACATCACCTAGATATTTACCTATTTTTTTAGAGTTTATAAAAAAACTTTCCTGGATGATATTACTAGAGGGAGTGTCCAACACGGAAGAAGAATGAGAATGTGTCTCCTTAATCCACTGATGGGTTTGGGGAAGTTCTTCCTGAGTATAGACGTCTCTGCTTCATCCTGTTTTTTTTTTTTAATATTTAGTTTTTAGTTGTAGTTGGGCATAGTACCTTTATTTTACTTATTTATTTTTATATGGTGCTGAGGATTGAACCCAGGGCCTTGCCCATGCTAGGCAAGCGCTTTACTGCTGAGCCCCAGCCCCAGCCCCTTCATTCTGTTTCTTGAGAAGGGAATCCCATTAAGGGACTGGTTGTCCCTGTTAAGTAAACACTTAACTATGAACGAAGGACACTGTGCCCATTTAATTTGTTCTCTTTCATCGCAGATCTTTGGCTCTACCATCATGGTAAAGTTAAATTCAACATTCTCCTCGGCTTGTTTACATAACTTGAGAATGTACAAGGCTTCTCTATGTGAACAGTTTTTACATACTTTTTGTGATTCTTTACACATATACTCCTTACACTAACATATGATAAAGTGTGTGCTTTTTAGATTGGAGAAGCTGTAGAGCCATGTTCTTTGAATGGTCTACACACTGATGATAAAAATCTAACTTTCTCCTTCTAAAGGACAGAGGTAAGCTGCCCAGTAAAGTCAGGGGACGCTTCACTGACTTCTAGACCTGAAATCAAGACTAGAAATCAAGACTTTGGTAAGTAAATACAGAAGGGCTTCACACAAAGTAAATTACATTGTACATGATCATATTCTTGTATTTTAAAGCACTTCAATGTAAGCTTTAAGATTTACAAAGGAGTTGCAAAAATAATATGAGGAGTTCTTATAGACCCTTCTCCCAGATCTCCCTAATGTTATGACCTTATATCACTGTGGTACAATTATCAAAGTGAAGGAATGAACCTGGGCATAACAATATTAGAAGTTAGATATAGGCTTTGTTCAGATTTCACGGTTTTCCACTCATGTCCTTTTTCTGTTCTGGGTCCTTCTAGGATCCCACCTTGGCTTTGCTTGTCCTTTCTCCTTGTCTTTTCTGATCTGTGATAGTTCTTCAGTTTTCCCTTGTTTTTCATTGACCCTGTTTAAGAGCACTTATCAGGTTATTTTGCAGAATGTCTCTCAGTTTGAGTGTGTCTCATTGTTTACATTATCTTTTTGTGATTAGCTCCACGTGTCAGGGGAGGAGTGTCACAAGGGTGATGTCTCCCTTTACTGTACAAGATCAGGGGCACATGGTGTCAATATATCTGATTTATCTCTGGTGATATTCACCTTCACAACTTGGTTAAGGTAGTTTCTTTTTTAAATTTAATCTATTTAAAAAAATTTTTTTTAGTTGTAGATGGACACAATACCTTTATTTATTTTTATGTGGTGCTGAGGTTCGAACCCAGTGTCTCACTCATACTAGGCAAGTGCTCTACCACTAAGCTACAACCCTAGCCCTCTGCTAGGTTTTTCTATTCCAAGTTTTCCTTTGTAATTAATACATTTTGAGGGGGAAGATATTTTGTGATCCTGCAAATATCTTATTTCTCCTTAAACTTTTACCCACTCATTTTTGTGTCCCTCTGTGGATTTACCTGAATTGATTATTCAGGTGGTATTCTAAAGGTGATTTTATAACATATATATTAACGATTTATTAAGTCATTTATTATGCTAGTAGCACTCAGGGACATTTAAAAACTTGAGTTTTTAAGTTATTAGGAGATCATGTTCCAATTGGTAGCTAATCCACAACCATTAACTTTTAATGACCAGTTCACTATACTAGCAGTTAGCATGCTCACCCAAGGTGGGTGAGGAAAAAGTTCAGATAAGTGAAATGCAGATAAATCCAATTCTCTAACTGCTTAGAAATTCCACCTTACAATGATCTCTTGATAAAATTTGACACCAATTCTGAAAAACAAGAACTTGGAATTCTGGATTTTTTTGGTCCTGTGTCATTCTCTTATTCTAGCGAGGTTATAAGGAATTAACTGGAATTAAAAAATACTTTCTTTCACTATTTGCCAAAAATCATTGCACAGACTGACCTCTCTCACAAACCACTGGCAGAATGCAGGAGAAATCCACTCTCTGGCGTGGAAACCACAGTCTATGAAGATGGCGGGCTTATTTCGTTTGGCTTTGCCAACCTGGCAACAAAATGCAGAAGGAAGTTATGATTGACACTCTGGCATTCAGGGGTTAACCTTCATCATCCACTGGTGTTTCAGATTCAACAGGTGAAACCTGACAGCGTGTGATATATCCTATGATTAAATTAAAACACAATACCAGCACAGTATGCGCTTGCCTCTAGACACAATGTTTGAGCTGAGAGCTTATGTGGCTGTTTATTATTTTTATTAAGCTTGACAAGCTCATATTTTCCAAAGATGCCTGATTACCCTGCTTAATGGTCCTCACGTGGAGGTTATTTTCAGCCGCTATTACTAGGTGACATGACCAAGACAACTGGATGAGTAATTAGAGGTAATCACAGTTGTTGCTAATCTCATAAGAATTTTCCCTCCTCTCCACTATTTCTCGTCTTTTTATTTCCTTCATTAGAATTACATGACAAAAATGGCATTAGAGGATGACAGAGACAAATTGTCGGTGCGCTTTGTAATGTTGTCTGATAAACGTGAAGTTTATGAAGCTCTTTAGCAAATGGATTTGCAAACAACAGCTGGGAGAGAAGGATTTCATCAAGGTAGATGATCATTTACATTGCTTACAGGAGTGTGGTTAAATTTATAGGACTTCTCTTATTTTATTGCGTTTTCTTTTTGAATAAATCAAAGTAATGATTTAAAAATCCACATATGATAAAGGAAGCCAGGGAATCTGTTCGACTCCCTGGGGGATATAGGCAGGAAAAGTTATAACAGTGTTTGGGATAACACGTCTGGGAAACAGATGTTAATGCATTAGAACTCACTGATTTAAAGCCCTCAGACCAGCAAGCTCATGGTTAAAAATAATTACCTTGAGGAGGTACATGGGGCGTCCTTCAAAGGTGGTTCCAATGACGCTGCGGGAGACGAGATTTGGGTTCTCCTTGGCAACTTGTTGAGTCCAAGCCTCTATCTACCAAAGGGAATCATTTGCGGATTAACAGGACATTGTTGGTTTAATTGCCAAAGCAATGTGAAAACCACGTGTACCTCATACCGTTTCCCAGTTGTTGTACTTGGTGTAACTGTGTCCAGCGGCCCGGCTCCAGCTATCAAACTGGGCCTCCATCTCATTTCTCAGGTTGCTTATCAATACCCTGTAACAAACCAGAAAGGTGCCCCTAGGTAAACACACAGGAAACCCCAGACATAGCCACTGCTTTAGGGGATGGTCCTGTGCATCCCCAACAGATTCATAAATTGTAAGCCTTTGAGAAGGCCATCTGAGGGTGTTGGCAGGACAGGCTCTTCCTCAGTCCAAGCTTTACATATTTGGTGTCCTTAGACCCTAAGCTCAGAAATGGTTTCCCCTGGGATCTTGCATGTTCTGGGCAAGGGTTTGGGCACACGACAATATGCCCCATCTATGATCTTTCTTCCTTGGGACTTTCCTGATTTTATCAGTGAAGTCTCAGCTCCCAGAAACCTACTCAGTCCCACGTAAATGGGGACAGTGTCTCATCCAGAGCCATCTCCAGGTTTCAAGAAAAATATCTTAGTGGCCTGAAGCTAAAGATTTATTGGGTTAAGAAGTCTGGGCTTAAAGAACTAGTTTCTATTTGCCTGTTTGGCTGGCGTAAGTAATCAAATAATAGTTCCGTAATCAGGTAACATGAACATTGAGGACAGGATACCTGAGGCCCTCCTCTTCCTATGAATGCACAGTTCAGTTAAAGTGCTCTTAAAAGTGGCATGCCTGAAGGTGTGGGCGTGGGTGTCTTCATTTCCCTTTGCCACTTTGAGGGTACAGGGTATTTGGAAGGGACACAGTTTTATAAGCATTAAAGTCCTTGGTCACAGCACTGTGAATATTACAGACAGAGGCCATTTTGCAGGAACTTCTATTATCCACAGTGGAGCCTTGAAATGGTTTTATCTGCCACATGGAGAATTACAACCACACATCAAAAGTCTGCCTTTCCTGCGGTCGCCCCCAAGGGCATTCTGACAGAGTTTATCAGGGACATCCTCTGAACCTTCCTCCTGATTGCTCCTTCATTTGGGGGAACTTGAATATGAACTTGTGTCTGTTCATGGAAAATGCAATAAATCAACACTGAATGGTATTTGCTTCCTAGCAAATGATAAATTCTGTCCCAAGGATTTCACTCTCTTAAGGTATTAAGAAAATGAAAAGGAGAAGATCTTAAAATTTATTCTGTGGAAAGAGATTTTTTTTTTTTCCGTTGAACAGCCATCCATAGTTTGTGTCTTGATTTTCTGTGGCCACTTAAAGTTAGTAGGTGAAAGCAACGTGAATTTGCAGTTTTACAGTTCTATAGGTTAGAAGCCCAACACAGGACTCACTGGGCTGAAAACAAGGTGTCCACAGGGATGTGTTCCTTCCAGAAGGTTCTGAGGGAGAGTCGGATCTCTCTGAGCCCCCTACTAGTCCTGGAGGTCACCTACATTTTGTGGCTGGTTCTTCCTCTTCCAACTTCAAGCTAGCAACAATAAACCAAGTCCTTCTCATATCCAATCTTCTGACTTCTACCTCTACTTTAAAGAACTTGATGGATTGCAGTGCACCTGTCTAGACAATCCAGGGTAGACTTCCTATTTTAAGTCAGCTGGTTAGGATCCTTAAGCCATCTAATATCTCAATTCCCCTTTGCCAACACGTTTAGACAAAGTGGGGATTAGGATGTCGACTTTTTGGAGGGATTATCATTCTGCCTGCTATAGTTAGGAATGATGATGACAGTAAGTGCCATAATTATACTGAATGTGAAATCAGATTTTTAGGGAATAGGGTGGAAGTGGGAGGAATCCTGAATTGGAAATCAAAACATCAATGTTGCAGTGTGGCCCAACCCATCAACTCACTTTAGAAAAGTCATTTAATTTCTGGGCCTTAATTTCATAAATTTTAGAATTGGGGCATTGGATTGATGGATATTCAATGTGTTTTTCAATTCTAAAATGCAAGGCTTCACTCAAATCCATAGGCTTTGTTCATTTACATAGATGTTTTTCAGGTATGTGAAAAAAAATTTTTTTTCCCCGGTTACCACATCCATAAACACTAACATGGAGGAAAGTAAAGTCTAGACTTTCAAACCATAAGTTGGAAGTAAAGTCTAAACTTCCAAACCATAAGTTGGAAGTTTAGGAAAATAGTTTTCAAGAAAAACAAAAAACTAAAAACAACAAAATAAGCAAAACAGAAATTAAACAAAAATTAAAAACAAAATGGCAGAAGCCTTTAAGAAAATTATGGTATTCCAATATCATCAATTTGAAAGAACAAATCCTACTAGCTAACAAGGATGAACTTCCAAAGAGAGTGGGGTGGAGAGAAAATGGTAAATGGTAAATGATGTATTTATCTTTTACTTTAACACAACTTTCCACTGGAAGTGAGCAAGTGAAATATCAAGCCAGGCCACATGGCTTCTTCATGGGTGTGCAGAGGAAAGATCTCATGGGTTAATCGCTTCCAGCATTCTGCAGCCTTGAGACTTTGGCTAGACATCTGCATCTAAGGCCATAACCACGGCTGTCCTGAGCTATCTCTGGGTGGAGGGGAAGCAAAACTCCCAGAGCATATAGCTTCCCTTTCACCTGCACCCAACCTCAAGTTCAAATTATTTAGAAGAATCAGTGACCATGCAGGGGCTAGTGTTGTTTTTTGGTACTAAGAAGAGACATTCCCTGAGAGTTATTATTGTGTTAAATATTAAACATTTTCATCAATAACCAGGACAAAGAAGCATTAAAAAACCCAGCTCGTTAAATTTAAGATGATACCCAAGTGTGGAGTGTCGTGTAGTAACTTGTGAGAGAGCATCAGAATGAGACTGAAATACGGTGTTGACTTTAGCCTGAATGCAGGGGATTGACCTCAAATGATCCTTTCCAGACTTATGATTATTTGATTTTTATTGGATTTAGGATGAAGCACTACTTTAGCTACATTACAAAAATATTATTACTAAATAATGAGCTACTATTGTAGAAGATTAAAACAATGCCTCTTAATATAATAGGGACCACATTATAGCTCCAAAAATCCAGATGATATACAGTGTTTTATACTTTTATATGCTCCTTTTATAGCACCATTCAACTTCTTCTTTTCCTTTTTTGTATTTTTAAAACTTGCAAGCAAATTAGAAAACTGTGGTTTCCAACAAAGCAAAGAACAGAATGTCTGAGAAAGAGAGATGACTCAATTTTATCTCCTTTTCAGATTCCAGAAAATGGAGCATTTGTTCAGTTCTTGGACTATGTGCCCATTACTACTGAAAACACTGCTATGCACTCATCACTATCTGAAGACACTTTCCTGTGTGACTCTGAAGTACTGCAGAAGAATGATGCTATTGTCAGTTATAACAGTCTTTCTCTGGATTGAATAAGGCCAAGATAACCTTGCAATTTGGAGGAAGGAACTCTGCAGAGGTTGCCCATCCACAACTTCAAACCATAAAGTTGGAGATTTACACTATTTTCTATATCTCAGGATGCAACGTGGCCATTAAAACCAGTTGTCTTTTTTTGTACACATTTTAAATTTTTTCCAAAGATAATTCAGGATCTTACTAAAACTCTCAAGTGGTATGAGTCTTGGTGAAGAGAGTTGGAACTACCAAAAAAATCCAAAGAGCTATTTTGTGAAACTTGTGCAGTGGACGGTTCCTGATATGTACAAACACAAATGCAAATTCGTGCCAGCAGGAAACCATCTAAATACAAATTAGTTACCATATGAGGTAATAATAGGGTGCATGGGGACTGCTCATGGCCCCGGCAAGGATATTGCTGGAGTACTTCTCCAGGATTTCTAGGGACTTATTATTATTTAATATTTAGAAAATTATATGCTACAAATGTGTTCAGCAGTGAACAGAGAAGCAAAAATTAACAAGATCTTAGCCCTCAGGGAACACCCTATGTTCTAGATGAGACCATATTTATCCACGAGGCTCAGAAAGTTTACCATAAAAAAAGCAAGTGAATTTTCTACTTGGTCCAGTAAATGCAGATGGAGAGGGGATTGGAAACCCTTTCATTATTTTGAGATATGAGTAGAAGTGGGACAGTATGCAGATGGCTAGTATTAGTATATGGTTGCTGCTCTTCCTTTGTTTTTCTTAAAGGAGTCTTAAAAATTCATCCTTTTGAATGTTATCAAGGCCCCTAAAGGCTAGGCTTTCAGAAGTCCTTCCTAGATAATAGCAAGAGCAAAATGCCAGGAACATGAATCTTAATCACATTTTGAAATTTACTAGGTTATATTTTGTTTAAGACGACAGTCAGTTTTTAAGGTCACATTTTGACACTTCCCTCAGGCAGAAGCACATAGCTAAGTGATATGAAGCATGATAATGGGGTTAGACATAACAGTTTTTGTTGACCCTTAAAAAAGGGTAATCTATTTTCTCTCTGTGCACCACAGTAAGCGAGCCCTAACAGCATACTCAGGAATGATAGTTGGGATACTAGTTGCACCTTATTTACATATTGTTTGATTCCATTTTTACAACAGACCTTTGATAGTAGCATTGTGTCTTCATTTCATGAATAAGGGAACTGAAACTCAGAAGGGGCAGATAAATTCCCCAACATCTCACAGCCAGGGAGTTACAGAGTCAGGATTAGAATCTAGGCTGTTGTTTTTCCAAAACATTTATTTGTTGCAATAGGCCCCACCAATTCTGATGTTGGTACAGACTTTATATGTGACAATTCTGACACTTGTACTAGTACTGATAGTCTTCTTTGATGCTTTTTTTCCCCTTTGGTACTGGGGATTAAACTCCACCCTTGAGCCACATCCGAGCCCTATTTTGTATTTAGAGGCAGGATCTCACTGAGCTGCTTAGTGCCTCACTTTTGCTGAGGCTGGCTTTGAACTCATGATCCTCTTGCCTCAGCCTCCCGAGCCGCTGGGATTACAGGTGTGTGCCACCCGGCCTGACTCCTTTGATGCTTTTAAGATGTGGAAAAAAACCAGAAAATTTCTAGTGTTAAAATTATGTAGGTCATCTTTTCTTAAAACACAATGGAGACTTGAGCATGTGGTTGGTGATTGTTGGGTAAATGTTTTCAGAATTCAGAACTGGAGCTTGAGAACACTTCTTTACTCCTTGATCCAACCCTGGAAGAAGAGCTCTGCTTTGCATTGAAGACCTATTTTTTTTCCCTCTCTCTCCTGCAAATGCCTCCTGGCCGCCATATTTTCTCTACCTCTCAGACTTAGCATAAGGTCTGTTCTTTGCCTGGAGTTTGGTTTTCCTTGTCTTGGTTTGGCTCACTCCTACTCATCTTTTGGTTCTCAGCTGAAGACTCATTCTGGTCTGAAGACTCATTCTTGGATTCTAGACTTGGTCTATTCCTCTCAAATTCCATTTCTCTGTCCTTCCTAGTATCTGTCCTATGACTGCAATTTCTCCTTTCAAATCTTTATCTCTCCTAAAGCAGATGGGGCCACATCTAAACTTTTTAGCATTTGAAACATGGAGGCACTTGATACCCTCTTAGGAAAACTTGAAAGACCTTGATGGACCAGCATTTGGAGAGAGGAGACAGAGTGATCAGCTTAGCCAAGTCTACTCTAGGCCTCTGGAGAACCACTCTTCTTTCCTTGAGTCCTTTCTCCATGCGTGCTCCTACAGCCAGAGAGAATGGTAGAATCTTGGGAAGAAGAGGACAGGAGTGTCACTCAGACAGTCTTGTTCTTCAGCTAAAGGATCATAAGGAGTCCTTGGGCTCATAATAGATGGGATCATGTGGGAAGAATATTTCTGATTTGGGGATAAAACTGTGTCTCGCTGGTAATTGAGTGTCCTTTGTTTTGGCTGCACTCTTGTGAAGCAGTAGCAGGGCAGAATCTGGCTGAAGAACTGGGATTCACTAGCCAACCCTATTTTCATTAGAGCAATAACTAAACATAAAATCTACCAGGATGGAAGTCTTAAGACTGAGAATACAGGGCCAACTTAGGCTTTGCCTCTCTGTGGGGCCATGGGGAAGACATGGTCTTGGTCTCATTTTTACCTTCCCAGGGCTCTTCAAAGGCTCTCATGAAAGCATGCATGGGAGAGAATTTGAATAGATGTACAACTTAAACTTACTCATATTGTAGCTTGTTCTGCTCCAGAAGGTCCTCCACAGCGACACAATCTTCTGCTTTAACAGAGAAGTCAACTGGACTGCGGGCTTGGACTTGTATGACAGAATCTGGCTTCCAGAAGTCAATCTGAATACAAAACCAAGGTATATTATATTAGACTTCTACCACTCAAAAGGCGAGTTATAATCAGAAGGCAGTACACTGTTGCTTATCTCCAATGAGTTATTTGCAAAATCAAAATTATCTATGAAGATCCTTAAAAAAACTCCTTTGAGTAAACAAATATTGGGACCAAGCAGTTAGATATTGACGAAAACGTTTACAAATACATATATACATAACATTAACTGATTATCAACAAGCATCAAGAATATACAACCATAATATTATGTAAATGCAATATTCCACATGCGCTCTTTTCTACTTATTGATTTTCTAGAGCACTTGCTTGTTACGATGGCAGAACGGTGGCAAGGGGATAAATATTCTAAACCAATGATAGTAAATTAGCTACTTACTGTCCACCCCCCCCCAAAAAAGGAGAGAAGCTGAATTTTTCCTTTTCCTTTTTTTTTTTTAACTTTTGTTTTTTTCCAATGGACTGATTTTATAAGTTTGTCCTGTGACTTATTTGTGTAGAAGTCACAGTAATCTGTGGAAACAAGCGTGTCCCTGACCTGGGGAAGATACCTCAGGGAGAAATTCAGCGTCCTTCCATACTGAGTATCTTGGCCCCCAAATACTTGAGAATAAAATATTCTTGGGGATCCAGGAATGTACTGACATTTTCATTTATTCAGTCATTTGACAACTGTTACTGAGGACCTATTATGTTTTAGGCTCTATGCCGGAGATGATGAATATATTAGTGGCAAATGAAACGTGGTCTCCATCTTCATGAGGGCAACTTTAGAGAAAATTAAGTTCAAAATAATAGCATGTCATATTTGAAGACTCTAATGCTTTTGTTTGTGGATGTGTAGCTTCAGTATCCTTTTTCCATGGAAAAGTATTAGAGCATACCGCCTATTACAGGTGTATGTTTTCCTGTTTCTTCCTTGTGCCTCCTGGAAGCCTGAGGTGAGCCTGACAATGGGTCTTTCTTTGTCTCTCTGTCTCATCCAATCCCTGTTTAGATGTTTGTGAATTAGTCTCAGGCTGGTGATCAGATTGATGGTGATATTTAGGACCATTGCTTGGAAAATTGGAAAGGAGTGAAATAGACTGGACAGTAGAAATAGGAGTTCAAATGGTTCAGTTTCAGATACACTGGGGGATGAGTGGCGGGAATCCAGTAACCTATATCCTGCCATCTTCAAAATACTGTGGAAGTCCGGGGGGTGCTGAGCTGGGGTCTTAGAGAATGTCAGGGCAATGGAAGGCAGGAGCGTGAGGTCCCATCAAGAGGGATTCCAGAAGAAAAATAGAGTGTGGTTATCACAAAGGGGTTGAACGGAGAGAGTATGGATGGTGGGATAAGGATGAGCTACAGAATGCCACCTAGTGAGTCAACGATGACAGGATAAAGATGAGAGGTTAGATGATAGTGGAGGAAGGACAAAAGGTGACATGTGACAAGAGCCCAGAAAGCCTGGGCTGCCTAGCCAGCATTGTGCAGGGAAAGACAAGGCAAGGAAGCACATGGGAAGAGGGAGGCTGTTTTTGGAAGCTGTCTCTGATGGCGTTCATTACAGTAGGTGCCCGTGATTCCAAGGTGAGGCAGGAGAGGAGAGAGTGACTTTGTGATAGGCACAGAGGCGTAGCGTTGGCAAAGCGCATAAAGTCCTCTGAGCATCTGTAGCCGACCCGATATCGTCCACTTACATGTAATTGCGGGGACCTTTAAGTGTGTTCAGCAGACTCCCCAGTTCTAAGATCTACTTCTCTGTTCCTGAGGGCACTTTCCCCTGGGACTAGGAAAAGCCAAATATCAGCTCTGGGCAGGCAGGGGCTGCAGAGGACCTAACTTTTTCTGGAGAACTGCTCAACCAGTGACCTTGGAAAGTAGTAATTTAGGTTCCCCAACTCCTGACCTCTCAGGTGGAATCACTTTGAAATGTGTAGTTTGTACCTTTTCCTAAACTGTCCCTATGGATTAAGATCGGGGGTCCTCTGTGGTACTTGGCTTAGTAATGCTGCCCTCTTTTTTGACTGTATTACTTCCCACTTTTATTTATTTATTAATTTTTTATCAGAGCTCTCTGCATTCCTAAATGGCCTCCTTCCCCACCCATCTTTGTTTCAGGTCCATTCTGGAAAAAACCTCTATTAGAGTCTACATTTCTATTCAAAGCAAAAAATACCTGATGATATTTTTGGTGATGATTCTAATTTGACCTTGAGTATTGGTTTCTTTCTGATACTAAACTGAAAATTGTCTTCTCTAACCTCCTAAGCTCTTGCCCATAGGTCTGGGTTCTGCCAAATATTGGAACATTACATATGAATATAGAGTGTTATCTTTAAAATTCTGCTCTGAGAATGGGGGATTCTTATAAGGGGATGTTACAAACATGTTTGACAAAAACTTGGAGACTCAGCCTCAGGTTGCTTAAAAATTTTGTTTCAACATGGGTAAACTGTCAACACCCATCAGTGTGGAGTGCTGTGGGTGTGACATAGTCTTCCGGAAAGTGTCCTTTGTATTTCCCAGGAGCACAGCTGGAAGTCAGCAGCAAACAGTAGCTGCCCAGCTATTTACCAATGCACCAAGTGTGGATCCTAAGGATAAACTCGAGTAATGACACAAAGAGGTAATGTGAATTTCAGGAACTCCCAAGAACTTGTGAATGAGATGTATGCCTGAGTATGGAAAAGGGTGAAATATACAAGATGGAGGGGAATGAGTTGTATGTTCAGATGTTATAAAACTGAAGTTACAAAATTACAAGTGTGGCAGAGAACCATACACAAGATTTGTTGGAAGGATATCTTTGAGTGACAGTCTGGTAAGAATACCACCTACATCAGCCAACTGGCTAATAACTAACGAGTCCTTTCTATAATGTTTCACAAAACAAGCACAAAAGCAAGATGGAACTTTAAAATCATTTGAGAATATGACTGGCATATAAAAGAATGAATACTGGTGTTGGAATCCTTGGTTTGTCACACGTTTATTTGTCCACCTTGCATTTGACTCTGAGTTGAGCATCTGATAGATCCCTTCATTTATCTTAAGGACATTTTCCAATTTTCCTTTCTAGTTAGAAAATGAAGCAACTTCTATTCCAGGCCTAATTTCAGACAGAGGGAGGAGCTTCCTATTGTAGCAGCAACAATGAGACATGGGAACTGTGACGATACAGGATAGAGCAAAGCATACCTTAAACTTGGAAAACAGATTTCAAGAAAGGCTAGAGAAAATAAAATACATTTTATGGCAAATGTCTCCAATAAAGGGACCAGTATAACCTTGACTGCAAGGGGGTAAAATTAAATCCTTCCTATACAATTGCAGATGAAAGAGGAGAAGCTGCAGAGTGCAGCCTGGCCCAGATCTCTCCAATACATTCAGCTTTTAAAGGGCACTTTCAAAAGCTGGGAAGAAGGACACTTGGCCAAAGATGAATACGAATACTGGATGCCCTTATAATGATCTTATCAGGAAGGCCACATCCCAGAATACACTACCACACACAAATGGTAGAGAGAATTAAAAAGAGAATCTCCTTTTTAATCATGTTGGACATTAAAAAAAAAAGAAAAAAGAAAAGAAGAGGAAACATATGTCCTACTTCTCAGAGCTAAGGCATAATGTTTGAAGAGAGAAACTGGGCCTCTTATTTGGCTTCTGTCCTTTCTAAGAAGGAATAACACTGTTCCTTGTAGCCTATACTTCTACTGAGAGAGGAAATTACCACCAAGATAAGTTCAAAATTTTTCACATGCTATTTAAGCAGAAATGATTTCTTTGGAAAGAGAGCATGGAGGTCCAAGGTAGATGAGGAGATGGGTGATTCTACTGGCATGTAAATTGTATTCAAAATCTCAGCTCTAATGATAGCAACAATGAAACTTGCATAGTTCTTCCTGTTTAAGTTCTTCCTAAGTGTCTTACCTAAACTAACTCTCACAGCAATCCTCAAAGGTAATAGTACTATCAACATTATGCCAATGGGGAAGTTGAGTCTCAAAGAGGTGTCTGAGGCTTAGATACCCAGTGGTAGGGCCAGGAATTGAACAAGGCAGCCTGAGACCAGATTCTCTGCTCCTGCCCACCACAAAATGTTGAATTTTAGGGGCTGGAGTTAGGCTCAGTGCTGGAGCACTTGTTTAGCCTATGTGAGGCACTGGGTTCGATTCTCAGCACCACATAAAATAAATAAATAAAATAAAGGTTTCCATCAACATCTAAAAAAAATCATAAAAATGCTGAATTTTAGATAACTAGAAAAAAAGAGATGTGATTGCAGAACTTTTTCAGCAACATTGGAAGAAACAAGAGTTTGAAGGGCTTCCTGGGGAGTAATGGGGGGCCAGTCCTGGATTTCATCAACAGGTGAAGCCCAGAAGCAGGAGCTCCTGGGGCCTGGCATGGGTGCTGGCAGAGCCACAGAGGAAACTGGAAGCAGATGGACAGAAAAGGAAGCTGTGGTTTCTGGGAGTCAGACGCAATTAACTTCATCTTCCTGTTGGAAGAGACCCCTAGCCAGGAGAATACTGATACTTGATCTCAGTCAATCATTTGATGGAGTCTGCACTGAAATCTTCTTTACTAGCTGGAAACATGCCTCTAACTTAGGGCAGTTGAGCAGACTTACCCAAGGAGAACAGGCTGATGGATCACTTTCAGGGCTGACCACTGTGTCTCCCACATCAGAGATGCTGATTAATGAGTTGAATGAGCAAAACCATTCAGGAGGTCTCTTTTCTATGCTTACCCCTGATCTACTTAATATTTTTCTTTATCAGTGACCAAAGTCAAGTTTGATGCTTATCAAACTTGAAGGTAATACAAAGTTAGGGGGAAGAATTATTTCCTTGTTGACTGAATTCACTCTTAAAACGATCTCAACATGCTGAAAACAGGCTATCAAGATAAATTTTAGCAGCCTAAATCTAAAATCCCATATTTAGGTAAAAAAAAAAAAAAGGTCAATTAGGTAAGCAAAGAAGAAGGTGATTCAAAGGTGATTGAAAGGTGATTCATCTGAGGAAAAAATAACCTAATGATTTTGATTGAACACAGGTTTAACAGAAGCTAAGAATGTTCTATAAGGGCTCAAGATGCTAAAAAAAGTCTTAGGCCCCATTAATAAATGTCTGCTTTACAAATGGAGGCAGGCAACGGTCCCGTATCGTGTATTAATCAGACTGTTCCTGGAGGCCAACTGTCAATTCTGGTAGCCACATTTTTTAACAGGAAATCCAGACAGACTGAGCTATATCCAGAGGTGACCAGAATGATCAAGGGTCTGTAAACTAGTGCTAAGAGAAATGATGAGAGGCCTGGAAAAGATAAATCTTAGAAGTAACACAATATTTGGTTCAGCTAGGTCTAATGGGCCAAAGTTAGAAAAGGCAGGCTTCAAGTAAGAGGCAGAAAACAGGATGGACTTTTAAGGCACATGGATGATTCCAGAAAGTAGTATACCTACTATCCCTGCAGGTTTTATTAGGACTAGCAACCGGGGGATGCCATTTCCTGGGAGGAAATTCCAGATTTGAGTGGAAGATTGGAATTGGTGACTTTCTATTCTCTTTCAGTGTTAAAAACCTTGGATGATGTGAAAAGCACTACCCTTTTCTTTCTTCACAATTTCAAGGCTAGAAAATGAAAGCGAGGTGGACAGATAGATATTTAGGAGCCAGGAGACTTGCTAATATGTTTGTGAAGAAACAGCACCAGTTCAAGTGGACCTATTTGTGATCAGCAATAACTTCCTGCCACATTACAGACACAATTAAAAATGTTGGTTTCCACTCCATAAACAGTGATTTTTTTTTTTAAAGTAGCAGAGAGATTTTGGTTGCTTGAAAGCAAAATAAAAGTAAGAAAACCACTCATGGTTTTCTAATTCCCCCCCTTGCCTCCCCACCCGCCTCACATCATATCATTAAGGGGACCAAAATCAAGGTCATGAAACCTCAAGCTGTTTGATTTGGAATGAAAGAAAATCAAAGAGAACAGATGATACGTGAGTTGTGGAAATGAATTTGAAGTTGGACACAAGCCCAGTTCCTCAGTCATTTCCAAGTTGATCATTTTTCTTTCTTGCTTTAGAAGGGAAGTGGCTGCACATTAGATGTTCTGTGACCTTTGAGACGGCTCCAGCTCACCCAGTTGTCACCCTCTGTCAGCACTTTAAAAAGTCTTTATGGATTTATAATACTATGAGGCTTGTGGCTATCTAAATTAGGCAGAAAAATCAGGTATCATGGTATTATGTGCTTTCCAAGGTTTTATTTCTTGCGACTGAAATGCTGTAGTTAATATTTCCTGTCATTCTTCCTTTGACGGAATCACAGTACAACCAGTTTTTAAAGCAGGTGTGAAGCAAACCTAATGTACATAATGGTTGCTTACCTGGTAGTTGCTGGCCAACTCACGGATTACGTCGAGGTGATTTTCATCTTCAACTTGAACACGGAAAACCTTATGACTAAATGGTGAGATAGGAGAAGAATAGGAAATTAAAAGTTGGGTAATGTGTCCAAACTTTTGGACTAACAAGGAAGAAGACTAGCTCTTTAAGGAATTGCTCACCTACCCTTCAAAGTGCTCACTAGGAGGATGAGCAGAGGCGAGGGCCACGGTCACCAGAGCCAGGAACACCAACATTGTGTCTGACGAGGCCTGTTGGGTGACTCAGAGTGCCACCTGTCTTTATACGCGGAGTGTTCTTTACTCTCTCCTCCAAGATTGCAAATAAACACTATCAGATCTTGATTTCTGGTTTTCCTGGCATTGCTGCCGTGGAAGCTGTGTGAAGTCTGAGAAGATCTCTCTCTCAACACCTGTGGAAACAGACCAAATTTATCTAATTTGGAGTTAGACCTTGAGTAGTCTGGTGCAAAATGTATTTTAAATAAAATCTATGTTGTGGTCTTTCTTCTTTTTTTTAAATTGAGAATTGTGTAAGTAAATTCTATAGATCTAAGTATAAAGTTTGATGCGTCTTGACAAATGTGTACACCTATGTATGTTATGTACCAAACAAGGTATAGAACATTTCCTACCCTAAGAAGTTTCCTTGAGCACCTTTATAGCTCATTTCTGTGCTCTGAACCTCTGCCAACCACTACCCCAATTTCTAGCTTTATGCATAAGTTTTGCTTGTCCACACTTGGTGCAAATGAGTTCTACCATATGCAGTCTTTTGTTTGGGATTTATTTCATGATTTTAAGATTTATTAGCTTATATTATTGTTTTGTTTTTGTTATTGTTTATATTATATTATTGTTTTGTTCCTTTTTATCACAAGTAATGTTCCATAGGATGACTATGCTATGATTTGTTTAGCTATTTTCCTTTTGATAGATATTTATGCTTCCAATTTTATGTTACTGCAAATAAAGCTGCAATAAACATTTTTGCACAAGTCTTTTTGTTGAGATGTATTTTCATTCGGACAAGGAGTGGATAAATATCTAAGTGGAACTGCTAAACAATAATGTTGATATAGTTTTGGCATTAGAAGGTCTTACCATGCTGGGTGTCGTGGCACACACTTGTAATCCCAGGGGCTTGGGAAGCTGAGGCAGGAGGATCACAAGTTCAAAGTTAGACTCAGCAACTTAGCAAAGCCTTAAGCAATTTAGAAAGATTCTGCCTTAAAAATAAATAAATAAAAGGGCTAAGGATGTAACCCATTGGTAAATATTCCCTAGGTTAAATCCTCAGTACCCTCCCCACCCCCCCACCCCCAAAAGGGCAAACTACCATTTTTCCATAGTGGTGGCACCATTTGAAATTTTCACCAGTATCCAGTTGTTCTGATAGAACACGACCATATGTTTGTGTATATACATATATATGTTAGTCTCCTTTTTCTTCAATTTCCATGAAAAATCATACTGGGACTTTAGTATTGTATTAAGTCTACTTTTACATTTGAGGATAAATGATATCATTACAATATTGAGTCTTTCAACTCATAAGCATGAGATTTGTTTACATTAATCTTGGTATTTGTCAAAAAGTGTGAAGAACCTGAGATTTGATTCTCAGGTTCAGTGGAAGATAACAAGCTATCCTGCCACTGTCTCATAGATATTGGCAGAAGACATGAGACTCCTGGGTCAGAATTAAAGACTTTATTAGTCATGGCAGAGCAAGCAGCATAAACTTCATGTTTGTGTGGGTTCTTTTACACATAGTCCCATGGGGATGATAAGCAGGTGGGTCCAGGTGGATACTGTGTATATAGGTTTGTATTACAGGTGAGATATACTGAATTTAGGAACTCCAAATCTTAAGAGGGAATGCTAGCAAACTTTCCCAACCTTTGCCCCATAGGAGACATTCATTATCCTGGAAAGGAACAGACCCTTCTTTTGCTCGGGAGGGAGGCAACAGCTCTACTTTTCAATCTCTCTGTTATACAAATATCATTGAAAAGACAGTTCAGAATAGAAGCTGTCCTAAGATACAAAAATAGAGGGATTTATGGAGAATTGGTTCTCAATAATACCTACCACTTTCTATACCTTCTTTAATAATGAATTTTCCCATGAATATGCTACTCTGATCTGACATGTGCTAGAACCAAATCCATTCTACTTATAAATGTTGCAGTTAATTGAATTCAATATCAATAGGACTCCATGTGGTATGATAAGGCCCATCTGCAACATTACCTCAGCCATTCCTTCCCAGGGTCCCGGGCCCAACAAGCTGAACAAATTGCATAAACTATCAGTTTCTACCTTGGAGAACTAGGCAGCTTTCTCCTAAAGTTTTAGTATTGACTGTTCCACTCACTTGAGTCAATAATCCGGGCACAACAGGATCTATTAACTATTGCATGAACTCCACCATTGCCTGTAAGGAGGAAGTAATCTAGGGCAAGTTTATCATCCAGAACAATTCTGGGCTGAAAGTTAGAACTAACCCTAAAGTCTTCCAGGACTAACATGGTTTTTAATGCATTTGGTGTGTGTGCGTGTGCGTGTGCGTGTGTGTGTATGTGTTTTAAAATCCAATCCAGGATTGCATTTAATTGATGCTGTCTCTTTAGTCTTCTTTAATTTGAACCAGACCTTCAAACTTTATGTTTTATAATGTTGATATTTGAAAAGAGTACAAATTTGTCAGTTTGGTTTGTCTCCTTGTTTTTCATAATTTCATTAACAAATTAAAAAATTAGACCCCAATTATATAACTTCCTAAATATAAAGGATATAAATGTATCTATACTTTATTAACACAACTTAATAAAAAGTTGAAAAAATTCGTTGATTTTGACAAGCCTACCTCTTTTGCAAGTATTATTAATTATTCCCTTCCGTTCACCCACTTACAATGATTTGCTTTTATCTCTGCATATTTTAATTTATTTTTGTATTTTGTATTAATTTATTTTGTATTGAATATTTTTGCATCTTTTTTTCCACTAGGATTGCAAGCTTCTTGAGAGATCAAACTGTATCTTATTCATTTAAATTTGTTTTGTAGCAGGTGCAGGCTTCTTTGTAGAATGAAAGAATGAAGACATAATGACAATCTGATATTTTCATAGTAATGCCACGTTATTTTGGCATTGTCCAATAACCATATTATAGGGATATTAAAATTAAGACAGATATTGCTTTTTAGGAAGGTCACATTTTAGCCTTCTCTTGTATTAATGGCAAAAATACTTTCCAGAACAAGTCACATCAAAGAAAAAAATTATAAACTTACCTGAATCATCCTCCCACCATACTTGTATTTTGAGAATTGTCAGTTTCCTTGGGGGAGAGGTTTCTTCTGAGAATCTTTTCTGTATTCAGAAGTAATGATTAAGTGGTGTTCCACATAGGAAGGATTTCTGATTATCACACCCATTTTATACTATGTTCCTGGTCCCCCAATATGGTGAGTCATATCATTTGCTCATTATTCATAGAATTATTCTAAATTATCTTGCCTTTGGATTTAGCCCCTTTTAAAGTCTTTCTAGTCTCAACCTTTGCAATCCATCAATCCTGATTTAGGTTCTTTATTTACTTCACTTCCCTTTCCTAGGTTGCCCTCAAATTCCCTCTTGGTTGCATCTAAAAATAAAACTAAACTAGGTAAATGAAAGAGATACTTGTTATTCACAGAGCTGATAAGTTCAGCAACAGTGCTGACTTCACAAGCCCAGTTCACAATGGCTGTTTAGTTTGAGCCTTTCTTTTTGATTAACTCTCTTATGAAATAAAAGGATGGATACTAATATTTGAAGTTGTGCATCTAAGTGGGTTAGTAACCCATTTTTGAAAGATAATGTATTCCTCCCCAAATTTCTAACCCACCTCTAGATTGCATCCCAGTGGACTGACTTTGGACATGAACCTGTCTATCCTGGAGCCAATTCTAGTAGTGAGGATGATGGGATATGCTGACTGGCCAGGTCTGGGTCATGTGATCACCATCACCCATAGACCTTTAAGCCTCACACAAAATACTCAATGCAGCTACTACTGCTGCTGCGGACACCCTTTCTAGGACAGATCTTGAGATCTCTTCTCTTATGTTTGTCATCAGCTTGCAAGTCAGCGTCAAGGTATTAGATATTAGTGCCTTTGGTTCAAGGTACTATAGGAAAATAAAAGTCTGACTTTTAACTTGGAAAACTAGAAGGGTCACATTAATTGTGACCCTAAATGTAATCACATTAACTGTTTCCTATGGCTCTTAGCTGGAGCAGTCTCCAAACTTACAGAAGGGGTTCAGATCTGGATGACTAAAAAGAGTGGCAAATATTCACACACTAAAAAAGAGAACATAATCGTTTGTGGATGACTTTTGATTTTATGTTTGGAGCTGTAAACATTGAAGAAAGTTTATCTCAACTGATGTTTTGTGGATCCATGTGGAGGGCAATCAGGATTTTTAGGTATTAAACTTTTTTGTTAGGTGCTATAATTTCCTCATGGATTTAGAAACTTCTGCCTTTTGTCTCATGTATATATTTTTAAATTCCTCTTTTTCATTCACAGTCTTGATAATTAAGAAAACAAAAGGCAACTTTGTGTTCATCTCTGGTTCATGCAACAGTGCGGAACACTGTTTTGGAGAACCTGTAAGCTGCTAGTGGTATTATGATTCATCCTGTGTGATGTCTCAATTTTTTGAAGAATATTTTCCTGAGCATATTCCATGGTACAAAGTAGAAAAGATTTCTGAGTGCTAATATGTCAGCCTTAAGCTAAAACAAATGCAATCAAGGGACTCTGGCATATGACATTTCCTAAATACCTCGCGCAATAGAGGCCAAGAATAGTCAAGTCCAGGTAAAATTAGAAGACTCAGGACCATCTCCCCTGAGATAAGAGGAATACATTATCTTTCAAAATGGGTTACTAACCCACTTGGATGCACAAATATCCATAATTTGGATACTAAGCCAAACTTAGTGTCCCCCTATGTTTGGCTGTAAAACACTATCTTTGGAAGCATCAATTCAGATCAGTGGGGACACATTCTGGGACTCTCTTGACTGTGTTCCTGACTGTCATCACATTAACTTAAGGGTCTGGCCGTGTGGATTCCTTGATCTCTTTGTTTAAGATTCAAGACTTTATTGTGATTCTCATGTTACTATCACTGGGCTAAGCGCTGTGGGGTATTCAAAGACAAAAAGGGTTTGATTCCTATTCTTCGATCCCTGACTGCCATGTATGAAGACACTTTAAGCACAAATATTAAGGAAGGA